CTCGCGCGTGACGTGGCACTTTCCGGGGAAGGTTCTGTCCAGACGGAAGTCTGTGCACGGGCGAAGCACATCTGTCAGCACAACACCACCGTACTCGGTAATGAGCCCAGGATCGACTGCCATCAAGCCGATCCTCTGACCCGGGATGCGAACCATACGGTAGGGTTGCGGCGGGCGATCACCAACGACGGTGGGCTGGCGGAACATGACGCGGATGCGACAGCGGATGCGAGCCGGGTATGCGCAGAAGGGCTCGGGTCGGGAGCGCGACAATTCAACCTGACAAGTGGCCATGTGAGCCAACATGTGCTACTGGTGGTGGGGTGGACGCCCCGTCGACGCAACAATAGCTCGAGCAAGACGATATGTCAGAGCTCGCATCGATGGTCTGACACAGCGCAGGCTTCGAATCCAGTTGACGGGGCGGCACCTGATCAGACGCTACGTCGCAGATTTAGCGACATACTACTCTACACACATTATGTTTACCACGTCACATATGTAGTCAACTACTGCGCGAATTTAATGACCTATGTCACACATTTGGTGAAGTAGTTCACATATTTGGTACGTCATGTCACACGTTTTGTGAACTACTTCACATATTAAGTGAACTGATCCACGCATTTGGTGAACTACTTCACATATTTGATGATGTACTTCACATGTTTGGCGAATCAATTCGCAGTTTTGGTGCATTGCTTCACAGATTCTGTGAACTAATTCACGAATTTGGTGAACCAGTTCGCGGATTTGGTGAACCAGTTCGCGGATTTGGTGAACCAGTTCGCGGATTTAGTGAACTAGTTCACATATTTAATGAATTACCTCACAATTTTAGTGAACCAGTTCGCGGATTTGGTGAACTACTTCCCACATTTCGTGAATTACCTCACAGATTTTGGCGAATTCATTCACATGCGCAGTGGTACCCGTCACGCGCGTAGTGAAATACTGGACGAACTTGGTGAACTAATTCACAGATTTGGCGAGTGACGTCACATGTTTGGTGAATCAATTCACATGTTTGGTGAACTACTTCACATGTTTAGTGAACTAGTTCACGAATTTGGTGAACTACTTCACATATTTGGCGAGGTACCTTACATATTTGGTGAACCACTTCGCGCATTTAGTGAACTAGTTCACGAATTTGGTGAACTAATTCACACATTTGGTGAGTTATTTCACGCATTTGGTGATTCACTTCGCATATTTAGTGAACTAGTTCACATATTTAGTGAACTACTTCACACTTATGATGAATTACGTCACGAATTTGGTGAACTAATTCACAGTTTTGGTGGAGTACCTCACATGGTTGGTGAATCAATTCACATGTTTGGTGAATTACTTCACATATTTAGTGAACTAGTTCACGAATTTGGTGAAGTACTTCACATATTTGGCGAGTTACCGTGCATATTTGGTGAACCAATTCGCGCATTTAGTGAACTAGTTCACGGATTTGGTGAACCAATTCACACATTTGGTGAGTTACTTCGCGAATGTGGTGATTCACGTCGCATATTTAGTGAACTAGTTCACATATTTTGTGAACTACTTCACACTTTTAATGAACTACGTCACGAATGTGGTGAACTAGTTCACAGTTTTGGCGGAGTACATCACATGGATGGTGAACTACTTCACATGTTTTGTGAGATGCTTCACATATGTAGTGATTTACTGCGCGAATTTGGTGAACTACTTCACGTTTTTGGTGATGTACTGCACATGTGTGATGGATCACGCGAGTGGGAAGGCGTGGGATATCTGGCGGCACTGTTGTGGCACTGGAGCACAGTCGGGCGCGCGTGACACCGTCGACGTTGAGAATGAGGGGAGGGCGGGGACGGTGGAGACGGTCGTCGAGATGGGCTCGCGCGACGCGGGGCGGTGGGTGGGGCGGGGGTGAGGAGGAGGGGGGGGGCGCGGATAGGGGGGGGTCGGCGGAGTGAGAGGGCGGGAGGCGTGGGAAGGAGGAGGGGGGGGGGATGAGGATGGAGGAGGGGTGGCGTTGAGAGCGCGCCTCCGACACATATGGCGAGCCAAGGAGCGGGGGGCCAGTGGGGGATGCAACGATGACGACGAGGAGGAGGATGATGATGACATGCTTTATTCCTTACTCAGAGCGGCCCGAGCTGCTCTGGCAGCGCTGCCTCCTCGCCGCTCTCCTCGAGGAGCCGCGCGGCCTCGTGCACGATGTGCATCACCGCGCCGCAGAACTCGTCCGAGAGCGACATCGTCCAGACGCCGCGGTGCAGGAGCTGCGCCACCGCGTTCGCCATCTCATCCAGGGACGCCTCGAGGCGCGGCAGGTCGGCGAGCCGCGCCGGGAAGTCATCGGCCCCAGGCGGCCGCATCCGCTCCATCGGCCGCGGCGGCTGCGTCGGGTCGGGCGGCCGCGTCGCCGCAGCGGCGGTGACGCCTCGGACCGACCACCGCTCCCAACGCGCCAGCGGCAACTGGAGGGCGAAGTTGCGCGATGCGGGAGCGACGGCGCGGCCAGCGACGCGGGCTGCGCCCGCGGCCGCGGCGGCGCCCGGGCTGCCAGTCCCGTGGCCAGTCCTGGAGCTGGCGGCCGGGGCGGCCGGGTGCCCCGGGTGCCCCGCTGGGGGCGGCCCGGAGGGGGGGGGGCGGGCTCGGTGGCTGGGCGGCGGCCCCGGCGGGGGCCTCGGCCCGGGCGGCCTCGGCCCACGCTTGGACTTGGCCACCATGCCCTTGGCGCGAGCCCGGGAGCCCTGGCCCTCCTTGCCCGCGCCCTTGGCCTTGATGCCAGTGTCCGTGTCCTTGTCCTTGCCCTTGATCTGGTCCGTGTACTTGTCCTTGCCCTGGTCCTTGTCCTTGTTCTTGTCCTTGCCCTGGTCCGTGTCCGTGTCCTTGTCCTTGCCATGGCCCTTGTCGCCCTTGTCCTTGTTCTTGTCCTTGCCCTGGTCCGTGTCCTTGTCCGTGTCCTTGCTATGGCCCTTGTCCTTGTTCTTGTCCTTGCCCTGGTCCTTGTCCCTGTCCTTGTCCTTGCCCTTGTCCAGGTCCAGGGCCCATGGGCCAGCCTTGGCCGCTGCCGCATCCTTGGCCTGGGCGGCAGCGAGCGCCGCCCCAGCTGCTGCCGCGGCGACAGACATCGCGGGCGAGGCCGTCGGCGCCGCCACATCGCGCGGCCTCCTCTTCGCGCGCGGCGTGGGTGTCGGCACGCGAGGCGGCGTCCTGGGCGCGCGCGGCCCTCCGCGGGGCGCGCCTCCGGCTCCGTAGGCCGATCTGGCCGCAAGGTCGACCGCGCTGACCGCGCCAGCGCCAGGCGGCTGAGGCTGATGATGATCAGGCTGATGCTGACGACGGTGTGCTCCAGCTTCGGCTCCCACATCTCGCTCGGCAGGTCGGTGGGCTTCAGCTGTGCCACCCCGCACCCCCACATCTCGCACTGCATGCTGGCCACCACGATGCTCACGATGACGTTGGACTCCAGCTCCGGCCCCCGCATCTGGCTCAGCCGGCTGCCCACGATGGTCGTCATCACGTCGGGCCCCAGCTTCGGCCCCCGCATCTCGCTCAGCATCGCGACGGGGGGGCGGCCGCCAGGGGCCCCAGCACTCGTCGGATGACGGGCCGTCCGGCGCCGGGCTCTCTGCGCGGCGCCCCTCGCGCTCTGCCACTGCTCTGCCGCCGCGGCGCGACCGGCGCGCGCGCTTGCGCCGCGGCGCGTCGGCGTCGGCGTCGGCGTCGGCGGCGTCGGCGGCGTCGGCGTCAGCGGCGTCGGCGCCAACGCCAGCGTCGCCTGCGTCAGCGCCGGGCGACGGGCCGCCCGCGCCAGGCGCCAGCCGCGGCGCCAGCGGCGCCGCGTCCGCCGCGTCCGCCGCGTCCGCCGCGGCCGCCGCGGCCGCGACCACCGGCGGGCTGGGCGGGCCGCACTTCCCCTTCCCCGCCTTGGCGATCAGCGCGGCGGCCTCGGCCTCCTCCTCCAGCGAGGGCCCGGGCTCGCGGCGGCCGCGGCCCAGGCCCGCCATGCCGCGGCCGAGCGCCCGAGCGCCGAGCGCCGAAGCGCGGCGCGCGCGGACCTTGGCGGCCAAAACTGCAACGCAACGGATACAACAATACAGGATGATGCTGACGGGTGATGATGATGATGATGATGATGACGATGATGATGATGATGATGATGATGATGATCAGGATGATGTTGATGATTATGATGATGATGGTGATGAGGATGATGATGATAATGGCTGGCTGTCTGTCCTCCCTCCGATCCCTTCTCGCCATCTCTCCCACTCGGTGATCCGGCATTATCATCGCCCTCCATCCTCATCATGACTCATCATGCCACCGCTGACCGCCCTCCACCTGCCTCCTCATCCCGCCTCCTCCGAGGGCCTCCCTCCTCCGGTTCCTATCCGGCCATCATCTCTCCTCCTCTCCCTCTCCATTATCATTACCATCGGGCGTTGGCGCGTAATCCTCCTCCTCCGCCTCCTCCGCATCCACACCCGCTTCTCCTACCCCCGGCATCCAACCCTCGCCCATGGAACGGGGGGCAATGGAAGGTAGGCGGGCGGGCGCGCACCGCGGAGGCCGCCGGCCGTCTGCGTCATCAGCGTCAGCCTGCTGGAGGCGCTGGTCGTGGCGCCTGGCGCCAGGCGGGCGAGGGGGGGAGGTGGGGCGGCGGCGGGGGGGGGGGCGGAGGGGGGGCGAGGGCGACGATCAAGCGACGCAGACGGGACGGGGCGGGACGAGATGGCGACGGAGCGCCGATGAGACGGGGTTGAGGGGTTGAGACGATGCGGGGTCGGGCCGGGAACTTGACGAAGGGAGGACGTGGCAGGGCGGTGGCGAGAGAAGTCCAGCAGAATGCCAGGAGTATAACACTACTCTGAATATGATACGTCGAGGGATGTGCGCAGGCAGGCTCAGGAGCTCAGGAGGATAGGAGGCAGGAAGGACGACGAGACGACGATGGTGGGACCCCACGGGGAACCCCGGCCCCGGCCCGACTCCTGACAGACCCTGCCGCCCCGCCGCCTCGCCGTCGTACAGCCACTGCCTGCGCGCCAGGCAGAGCTGGTTCCCGCCGCGACCGACGTCGGCCCAATCGCAGAGCCAGCCGTCGGCGCCGACGGCGTCCGCAGGGCGAACCATGTGCGGTGACCCAGCGAGCTGCTCTGCGACCAGCTGGCCGCACGACTCGTGGAACGTGAGCGCGCACATCGCACACTCGCGCGCTGGCTCATCGATCTCTGCCTCGCACAAGCAGCACGCGGTGATGGTGTCAGCTTCATCGCCGCCGAGTGCCGATAATGCAAGCTCTGCCATGCGCTTCAACCTGGGTGCAATTCCATTCGCCCAACACACGTGGCTTCTCGACGCACCTGCTACCCGTCTGGGGAACAGGAGTGCCACGACACAACTAAATATTATATGACAACAGGTTGAGCTCCAGCTCCGCTCCAGCTCCACAACTGATCGGCCCACGCGGGCCATGGGGCCCGGGACCGCGCGCCCCCTCCCCGACGCCCGCGCAATGCGCGCTTTGGGCAAATACCAGCCAACCTGCCCAACCAGCCAATCAACCAACCAACCAAGTACCACCTTTAACATCGCCGAATCGATCACGGCCGACCAAATCCAGCCAAACAACCGACCAACCAGCAACGCGGGGGGGGGATCTGGGGAGGAGGAGAAGGAGAAGGAGAAAACTGGGGAGGAGGAGGAAGAGGAAGACTGGGGAGGATGAAGACTTGAGTGTGTTGTTGAGCACGCGTGCCCCCGCATGACCTCATCGTCTGCGGCTGCACCACCGTATTCACGAAGGTCTTCACCTTTTCCACGGTGTAGCCGACGTCGGGATGGATCACGCGGGCAGCGGCGAATGATCGCAATGGTGACCACCCCTGCGTAGGCCACACTGCACGGGGAGGGTCCCGGGAACAATCGATACGCACGCGGCGTCCTGTGAGCCGCGATGGGTCAATCCACTTCACGAGCACACATGCCCGTTCGCGCTCTCCGGAGGGCATGTCTTCGTCGAGCCACATCAGAGACAGACCGCCGCCACCGATCTTGCTAGAGATCATCGCCCTGGCTCGATCCCGCAACACATCTGCCCCAGCCAGGCTGCCCTCACACCACAATCCGACGACCAGGGTGACGCGCGGGTCGTCGCCGACGTCGCCGCCGGCATCGCCCCCATCACTGGGTGGATCAGGTGGATGATGCGGCGGCGGCGGTGGCGGAGTTGCCGAAGCCAGGGTCGCCGGCGTTGCCTCGCGGGCAGCGTCTGCAGCCTCTGCAGCCTCCTTCGCCAATCGCTCCGCGCGAGCTGCCGCCGCGCGGGCTCTCAGCTCGACAGCGTCGAGGTCGGCCTCGTGCATTGCAGCCATCGCCGCTTCAAACTCTAGATTGTCAGGGTGGACATCCTCGCCTAAGCCCGCCTCAGCCAGTGCACTGGACCAGTCAAACCGATCCTGGAACGCCGCCTTCTTCCGAGCTGCCCCCTTCTCAACGCCAGAGCGGTCAAGGAATGCTGCAACGCGTTCCGCCTCAACCCGCTGCACGAAGGCCTCATCGTCGGCGGCTGCTGCCCCTGGAACATCATGATCATAATGGCGGTCTGCAGATGCGAGATCACCAAACAAAGCTGCAGCCTGGGGCCGCCGCGGGGGCAACCGTTCGCCATCCGCAACACAGTCTGGACCCCATGATCACCCGGAGAATCCATGGGAGGCCCTGGCCCTGGCCATATGGTGGTCAATGGTGGTCCCTGAGATGTCCTGAACGTCTCCTGGTGGCCCTCAGGGGGGGGGCCCTGGGGCCCTGGGAAGCCTTGAGCCCGATAGGCCCCTGGGCCCTGGGAGGTCATGGCTGGCCCTCTGGGCCCTCTGGGTGGCCCCTGGAAGCAGGGGTGCCCTGGGAGCAACCCACGCAGTGACCATCTGCGGCTGGGACTTGTTGGGCCCCTCGCGCGGATCGCAGCGTCTGGCGGTGACGGGGCCGGCGAAGCCGCGGATCGCGGGGCACGACGGTGACAAGCTGGCCAAACAAGTCATGGGGGCGGGGGGTTCGACGAAGGGGCGGGGGGGGCCCCCGACTATCACGACCCCTCGCCCCCCCCCATTCACCCTTGCCACGCGCCCAGTCTACCAGGGCAATGGTTGGTAGGGGAGGGGGGCCCTGATAAGCAGCCCGCCCCCCCCCCACCCTTCGCCGGGCCCCAACCGCATGTATCCGGCGACTATCCGATCCTGGCAATGCAACCTCCGAGACGCAATGCAGCAATACATTCAAACCTGCTAATTGGAGGCCGTAAGACTGACTTAACCCATGACACGGAAACCGTAAACACAAACACCCCATGCGCCGCGCCCTGGGAGATCCCTGGCTAGCCTTCCGGAGGTCCCTGGGAGCTGCCCTGGGGCCCTGGGGCCCAGGGAGGCCCTAGCTGCCCTAGCCCCCCGAACATCATGCGCCGTGGGAGGCAATGGCCCCTTTGGGGTACCTTGTGGGGCCTCGACTCGATCGGGTAGTATTCAGGGGCCTTGAGCTGCGTTGCCGCCCCTCGCGAGGATCGCGGGTGACTGTTTAGATAGGAATGAACCGAATTCAATATCGCCCTGTTGAAACAAAGCACAACTACCGAAATCCAGAACATCGGTCGCGCACCGAAACTATCGTAGGGGGGTAGGGGCCCGGGGGGTCCCCGCGTGGCTGCCAGCAACAAAGCTGGTGGGGCGAGGCCTCGTCGCCGTCCTCGTCGCGGAACTGGCGCTCCAGGTCCCGCAGCATCTCGCCCTCGTCGTCGTCGGAGTAGAATCCAGCGGGTCGATCGCCACCGGCGGCGCCGCCACCTCCATCATCGCCCTCTCCTCCGTCTCCGGCTCCTCCGTCTCCTCCGTCTCCTCCGTCGCCGGCGTCGCGAGGGGCACGAGGGGCTCGGTCGTCACGGTTCGACGTGATGACGATCTCGGACTGGCCCAACGCTAGCTTGCCGATCGGTCCATCGTCATCGGAGTCGCTCCACAGCCACTGGACGATGTGCTTAATGATATGGGCAGTGCCAACCAAAAGAGCACGCTCATGAAGCTCTTCAGAAAGAACAGCTGTCGACAACGCAAACACGAGAGGGTCTTGGAACCTGAAATACCGGACGCCATCGGCACCGACTGCCGTGACAATGGCAACTGCTAGAGTTGTCTCACAGCGATTCTTCTCAATTGGCAGATAAACCAAAGAATTGGTCGGACACTGCGCGCGCCCGTCGACCACATCACCATCCACCACTGAAAAACACGTCGAACAGTCAATCGTAGGAAACACCCTATGGAGTTGGCGCCGATAATGCCGAACCAGAAGCAAAGTCCGCAGCGGCACGGCCCGAATAGGAGCACCCAGCGCCAGATCGATTTGAGGCTTGGTCATGCCAGCATGCAAAGGCCTCACCAGCGCAGGAGGCGCCCAGCGTCCATGATCAAATGCGATCTTGTTAGCGGTCTCTGAACTCTCAAGACACACATTCACCACCGCCCTCGCACGGGGCCGCACCGCCGACCATTTATGGCTCACTCCGCGGGCTCCGAGGCCAAGAGCCTTCTTCATCTGCACACGACTGCTTAAAAGAGGAAGATCAATGTTCGGACACCGCTCGGTTATTACTTTCGTGATGGAATTGACCCCCTCGCATTCCTGAATGTCAGCAAACGTGTATACCCTGAATATGTGGATTAGTGTCCAAAGGCCCTGACTGCACAGACCCGTATCGGCAGCGTGTGCAATATCGACTGCATATGCCCTCGCCACCTTCGCAGTGGTCGGATCCTCCCGATCGCCGTTCGCCCGCAAGTATTGCGCAACACCTGAGGGGTGGGGGGCGGGGCTGGGGCGGGGGCCCGAATCTGATTGGGGCCGGGAGAGGGGGGCAGCGTCGAGGGGGGCGGGCGAAGGAATCGGAGTACGCCTCACAGGCGCCGTGCTGGATTGGGTTGGCGCGCGCCCCTCGCCAGCTACATATCTCGCGACCCGACATGCGACCCCCCCCCCCCCCTCACATCGCGACCCGCGCGCGACCCGCCCGCGGCCATCCCCCCGCGGACCGCCTGCGACCCGCCCGCACACGTCCGCCCTGCGCCTCGCCAGCGTCGACGGCGCACACGCGGCGTCTTCGGCCCCCGCAGTCTGATCCGCAACGGCGGAGGTTCAGCATGCATGTGGGAGTTGGTTGAGCGAGCAATTAAGACGGCGCCGGGGGGCAGGGGCGGGGGGGGGGGGGGCGGCGATGGCAGCGCGGCGATCCGCGGCACCCGACCCCCTCTAGGACCAACCAGCCAAGCAATCATCCCCGCCGCCCCGCCGCCCCCCCCCCCGGCCCCTTTTCCCTGTGGCCGCCATCATCCATCATCCAATTGCCACCGTGAGGGTGAGCATCATGAGGGCGACGACGACGATGATGATGATGTTGTTGTTGATGATGATGATGATGATGGTGATGATGTGATGATGATGATGATGATGATGAAATTGCCACCCAAATGGATCCATACGGGGGGGGGGGTCGGGGCCGAGGCCCAGGCGAGCCGAGATGGCAAGGCGGGCCGATGCGGCGGGACCTTGACGACGCTCGCACCGCACGTGGGGCGGCGAGTGGGCGAGCCAGCACAGCATGAACGGGTACCTGGCTTCGCCGCTCCCCCCCCCCATGTCCCATCTCGCCACGCCCCGCCACACCGCCCCCATTCCCTCCGTCGCTCCCCCCCTTCTCATCCACTCCACTCCGCCACTCGACCTCCTGACCCCCCGCGCCTCCGCGCCCTCGGGCCTCGTCGCTATCGCTCGCCACTCGCTGCCCCCGCCTCCCCCCCCCCTTCCCTGGCGGGAGGCGCGCGTCTGCAGCTGCGACGAGACGCGGCGGTAGAAGGAGCCGGCGTGGCGCAGGAACTCCCGCGCCCGATGCCCGGCCGCCGTCGACGCGACGAGGGGGGGGGGGCGGGGGAGCGGTGCTAGCTCAGGCCCTGGGGCGAAGAGTGGAGGAGGCGAGGCGACAATGAATAATGGGGGGGGAGGGGGGGGGCGGACGGGCCGAGTGAAAGCAAAATGAGGGCGGGGCAGCAGGCGGCGGTGGAGGTGGAGGCGGTGGCGGGGGATGTGGAGGATGCGGAGAGTATATAATTGAAAGGAGGAGGTGTGTTGTGGTCGTGCGTGTGCGTGTGTTAGTGCGTTTGGTTCTCTACGCGGGTCCTCCAACGTGAGCAGCAGAAGGTCGTTGCTGTTGCCGTTAGACGCGTATCACCAGTCAGTTTGGCATGCCAGTCCCGCCAGGGGAAATCGAACACCAGCGCGGCATACTCATCTGCAATTTCATCACATTTGAACTCAACCAACCGGGCCAAATGCCCGCCGTGCCTGTTGATGCTGTCGTCCGAGTACTTCTTCTGCATGAACAGCTGGAGATGGTTCCCAGGGCCGTGCACGGCCTCCATGATCATGAGTCCGTACCAAAATAAAGGATCGTGCAAAACTTGGCGTGCATCTCGCTTCCACCTGCCGGTTTTCTCACGATACTGGGCGATCTCCTCAAGTCGGAGCTCCGCGTCGGGCGCGTCGGCGGCCGCGCCCTCCGCGCCGTGGCCGTCCAGCGGCAACAAACGACGATCGGAAATGGCAGCGGCTTCCTGATCTGACAGCGCCAGCACAAGATCCATGGCGTCGGTAAGCTGACCGCCGCTGAGCGGGGCATCAGCGATCGCCCCCGGCGAGAACTGCCCCTGCCCATCGTCCACGCTCCAGCAGGACGCGGCCCCGCTGGCGTGCCGATGGAAGGGGGAGGTATCATCTCTCTCTCGCGCCCGAGGCGACAGAGCAAATGGGGGGTGTTCTTTTGCTTGCTATTATTAGGGCTATTCTTAGCTATAGCTACCTATCCCCAGCTATTCTACCTCGTTCGTCCTCCTCGTCCTGGATGGCATGTCGTCGTCACGAGTCGTTCGTCGTCGTCGTCGTCGTCGCCGCCGTCGTCGCCGTCGTCGTCGTCGCGCCATGCGCCCGCCGCCGCCGCCGTCGTCGCCGTTGTCGTCGTCGCGTCGTTCTGCTGGCGAGTAGCAACCCTGGCCGCCGCGCCCTGCCGGCGAGTAGCAACCCTGGCCCTGTACCGCCGAAGCCGATGCGCACCAGGTCCGAGTGCTGCAGGGCCGAATGCCGAATGCCACCAGCGGCGCCAATGCCCATCCGGGCAGAGGCGCGCTGGTGGCGGCGCGGCCCTGAGCGGTGTGGGCCTGGCGGCGGCGTGGCCTCGACGGGGGTGCGGCAGGGGCTGCTCGCTCCCGTCGCTGGCCCCATGCCCATGACCTGTCACGACGACGACCCCGCTCTGGCGGCCCTGGCGGGCCCCTCACCACGTGGAAAGGGGGGCCCGCTCCGAAAAAAGGAGGGGGGCGGGGGAGAGGGCACCGTCACCCATGCACCTCGGGACAAATGAGTGGGGGGGGGCATGTTTTCCGTTTCCCGTCGCCACGGGCGCGCAGAGAGATACAAGAAGGACGGCGAGGGGGAGGGGGGGGCAAAAGGTGATGGATGGATGGGCGAGGAGGCGAGGAAGGATTATGATGGGCGCGCCTGATCCGGAACTCCACCGACGATATGCTCAGCCAACGTCCGG